TCTAAAAGGTTACAAAAGTAACCTTCTGGCAAGACTGAGTGCGTTATGCAAACAATGTATTACCCCTTCACCCCACTCCTCCTGCGTCCTACCGAACGGCATGCTCTAGCGGTGATTTTTATTAATTTTGTGGAACTGGAAGATAATGTTTTCTTTTATATTATTATTACATAGGTATTAAACAGTGTACGCGTCTGTACCAAAATTGTAAGGTGTATTATACTAAACATTTCAAAAGATAGTACAATGTTCTGCGTTTTCGCTTTTTCGTAACCACCTAAACTTGGTCGGCTTACCACGGTCATTCACTTCCTAATGACTTTCATAGTATTATCTCATTAATTATCCAATGTATTGAGCTGAAATTTTACCGATATACAACTGATCTAAACAACTAATTATTGACATAACATTCAGTTCATATATCCAATCCAGTGGCCAAATAACACCGCGTGCATTAAGACCGTGCTCGTGAAGAACTGAATATCATCATAACTTGTTAAATACTTACGGGATACTAATGAAACTTCACATACATTTGAAGGCAGTTACAAGCTTTAAAATTACGTTTAAAGTAAGTCTTTAGACTTCTTATTGAGAGTGCTGGGGCCAATTGAAGTGTTTTTCTATTTAATGAAAATACCTTCAAAATATGCATTATTTTGGTTTTGTTATTGCACAACAAATTTAAACTAAGTCCTCGGAAGTCGTGTACAAAATATGATAAGAATCCGCTTAACCATTTCAAAGATCTAGCAAAACTAAAAACGTTACCGCAGCAAAATCTCGAATAAATTCGCAACCGAAGAAAGAACAAATACAAAATAAGGCACAACATTTACTTTATCTAGACAACTAATTTTATAGCTAATATTTATTTAAATATTCCCATTAGAAAGAAAAAGGTCTGGCTGTGGTAACGTTACGCCAACAGGAAATGTTTTTGTAAAATAATTAAAAAACTATAAGCGCAACAAATTTAAAAATGTGCGCAACAATTACAGAAGCCGCACAACTAATTATCTATAAGATTCAAATGACCATTGTCGACAACATCTGGCCTGGGTAACAGACACCGAAACAACAGTCTCAACATTTTCTCTTCTTTTTTTTATTTACAAAGTTATTTTCCCTTCTTTTTTTTTATTTACAAAGATTTACAAGAAAACAGAAGATAGCCTATTCTACTAAGATCGTTTTTTTTTACTTGCAATAAACTAGTGCTTGACTGCGATCCCACCTGATGGTAAGCAGTGATGCAATCGTTGATCTATGTCACACTTTATAGATTCCTTTGTTCATCTCCGTTTGAGCTCTTCTTCGTAACGGAATGTTCAAAGTATGTAGCCGAGTTTCTTTAAAAACTGTTAATTGTATTTCAACCTTTAATAGGGCTTAACTCTATGATCATTTATGACTATTATGACTATAGCAAACAGATAAACATTTATAGTTTAAAATATACACCCAACTACGTGTAGGTACTTTTTAAAACCGTCACACATTAAATGTAACCCGTGTTCATAATAGTGAAACAGACAGCTGCTGCATTAACAATGGCGACAACATATACGTAATCCAGGCCATTGTACCAAAGTAACTAAAATGGATAATTGTAGTATAACAATTTGATCAATGAAAAATGAACTGTTTTTACTTTGGTTTATGAAAAGTTATTCGAACACACAGCAGTTTTAAACTTCAGTATACCAAATTTTCAAAAACATTTACATAATTACAAGTATATCAATACAAAGTATTACTATGTAGTTCCTCACTCCTCAGACCTGTCGAAAATGCGACCACTAATAAATCAAAATCTCTCTCGCCCCACCTAGGGCGGTATAGACCATACGATGATTTTCCACGCTTAAAATAAAAACCTACCAATACTCGGAAAGGCAGGTTTTTCGTCAATAAAACTCACTAACTCCCTTTGGTGGTGGTGTGTGGTGGGTCCAGGGTGAGAGAAGCACTTTCACCTAAAGCAAGTAGGTAGGTACCTATAAATATTTCAGAGACCGGACAGTAGAACTTTTTTTTAAATAAACGTTGCGCCACACTTGTATTTTCTCCTGTGTCGTGGGTGCGTTTACAAACATACAATTTTACATGCACATCACACCCAGACCCGGAACAACAATCTGTGGATCACAAAGAGTTGTTCCGTGCGGGAAACGAACCCGCGAGACGTTGCGCGCCAGCCGTGCAGTCAGCACTTCCTTATGAGCTGCATTATCTAGAAACCACTTTTCAAATACAGAAATTATAACAAACCCATCATATTTTCATATTGAAACTGCTAATACTCCATCAGTGATTCAATATCAACGATTAAAGTAACACTCATTAGTAAATTTTGAACCCATCGCCATTTATAATTTAGATGTGCTCGGAAGATAAAGTGATGTACAGGAGAATCTCTCTACTTCTTCTTCTTCTGTCTTTATAGGAACGACTGCATCAGTAACGCCATCTACGGGGAAAAAATCTATATTGGAAACAAAGTTGAAAAATGTTAGGTAAGTACTTCAAAAAATGAGTTTCGAAACAACAGTCTTAACATTTTCCCTTCTTTTTTTATTTACATAGATTTACAAGAAAATATGTAGAAGATAGCCTATTCTACTAAGATCTATGTCACTTTATTGATTCCTTTCTTCATCGTTCATCTCTAGTTGAACAGTTCTTCGTAACGGAATCTTCAAAGTATGGCCGAGTTACTTTATTTATTTATTTATTTTATTTTTTATTTATTTCAGGCTTCTAGGGCCCATAAACACTGCACATAAATAACAATCTAAAAAAACAATAGATCTTTATAAGCGGTTGATTGCATTCCACCTTCAATTAGGCTAATATATGACTATAGCAAACAGAAAAACATTTATAGTTAAAACACTTAAAATGATTGGTAGATACACCCCACTGCGTGTAGGTACTTTTTAAAACCGTCACACATTCAATGTAACCCGTGTTCATAAAAGTGAAACAGACAGTTGCTCTATTAACAATGACGACAACATGTACCTACGTGATCCAGGCCATTGTACCAAAGTAATTAAAATGGACAATTGTAGTATAACAATTTGATCAATGAAAAATGAACTGTTTTTACTTTGGTTTATGAAAAGTTATTCGAACACACAGCAGTTTTAAACTATAGTATACTTAATTTTCTAAAACATTTACATAATTACAATTATATCAATATAAAGTATTACTATGTAGTTCCTCACTCCTCAGACCTGTCGAAAATGCGACCACTAATAAATCAAAATCTCTCTCGCCCCACCTAGGGCGGTATAGACCATACGATGATTTTCCACGCTTAAAATAAAAACCTACCAATACTCGGAAAGGCAGGTTTTTCGTCAATAAAACTCACTAACTCCCTTTGGTGGTGGTGTGTGGTGGGTCCAGGGTGAGAGAAGCACTTTCACCTAAAGCAAGTAGGTAGGTACCTATAAATATTTCAGAGACCGGACAGTAGAACTTTTTTTTAAATAAACGTTGCGCCACACTTGTATTTTCTCCTGTGTCGTGGGTGCGTTTACAAACATACAATTTTACATGCACATCACACCCAGACCCGGAACAACAATCTGTGGATCACAAAGAGTTGTTCCGTGCGGGAAACGAACCCGCGAGACGTTGCGCGCCAGCCGTGCAGTCAGCACTTCCTTATGAGCTGCATTATCTAGAAACCACTTTTCAAATACAGAAATTATAACAAACCCATCATATTTTCATATTGAAACTGCTAATACTCCATCAGTGATTCAATATCAACGATTAAAGTAACACTCATTAGTAAATTTTGAACCCATCGCCATTTATAATTTAGATGTGCTCGGAAGATAAAGTGATGTACAGGAGAATCTCTCTACTTCTTCTTCTTCTGTCTTTATAGGAACGACTGCATCAGTAACGCCATCTACGGGGAAAAATCTATATTGGAAACAAAGTTGCCTTTTAGCCCCGCCGTAATATCTTAGCTAGCCCACTACTGAGCAAAGCCCTCTTCTCACACGGAGGTTTTAGCATTAATTATCACGCTTGCTCAAGGCGGATTAGTGATTATAGGTACACTTATAATAAAGGTTCAGGTTTCCTCAAGATGTTTTTCTACTACTGTGTGTCTGTTAAGTCTAAACAATCTTTAAAAGTATTTATAACTTCGAAAAAGTATTGGTGGTAATTATCGGTGCGTGCCAGGTATCGAACCTTAAACATATTTTCTTGCATGAAAAGCGGGCACCATAACCTCTTGGCCACCACGACATTTTAATTTTTAGATGTCATAAACAAACCATAAAAAGCAGAACAAAAGATAATAGTTAAAAAATAATATAAAACAAATCATATTTACGGATTACTGTTGCATAATATGTCTTACTCGTAACGCCGCGTTCCAGCTCAGATTTATGAGTCCCAGTATCCCTCGAATCTGGTCTAGCATCTTCTAATAACAAACCTAAATAAGTATCAAGCCTTTCTTGAATAATACTATCGTGAGACATACTAAATTTGAAACACTCACTCTTTTAATAAACAGTTTCGCAAGGCCGTCTGAATGAGCACACTGCCCGCTGTGACTTAGAAATACTAGAATTTGGTTTTATCTTAGAACTTAACAATATTATTGTAAATACAATTAATGTGAACTTTTCTCAATAACTTAATGTGAACAAGTCGTTATTTTCAATAAAAAAATACGATTAAATCTTTTCCCATGATCATAGGCATCTAGAACGCCATACAAGCTTGGAACAGGAGTTGGAAAGAGATGGTTTATGTTAGTAAGTCTGAAGGGCGGGAGGAGTAAGTCTTTGATCATTTCTTGCATCAAAAGAAAAGCTTATTCATACGTGCATATTGAATGTTACACTGATTTATCCCCAGTTAGGTTTATAACATTGGTTATATCTGGAAGGAGCCGTAAATATTATTAGAATAAAAATAAAGAAAACAAAATTAAATTAAAATTCATTATTACTTAATAGTTATAATACAAAATCTAAACAAAAAAATGCACAAAAATAAAATCTAAAAAAAATATATTTTTTATTTATGCGTTTATTTTTTGACCTTCGACAAGAGATCCGAGATGTTGATCAAAGTCCTCATTATTGATGGCGACGCAGTGTGTACAGTCTTCCGTCTTGTAAATGCCTACAAGACGATTAGATGCTTCGAACATATTGTATCGAAGCGAGATTATAATGAATTGAGCATTCTTCGTTCGATCCTGTGAATAAAAGAAAAAAAAAGAATATTTTAATTGACTATCATCTTTTCTTTTTGGTGTAAATGGCTAGCGATCTGTTTTTATCGATAAATTTAAATGCCTGAAATCTTAAGCCAATTAAAATATGAAAGTTTGATGATTGAGAACTAGTCAGTGGCAAACCGTGAATTTGACTGGTGACCTTTTCAATTGGGTAGTTTCCTAGGTAATTAATTCGACGTTTCAATGCAATAAAATATTAAAAAATAACTATACTTTTATTCATCGATCGATCGATACACTAATTACTATTAAGCTATTTACACTAAGTAGTAAGCTATTTGACGCTGAATACTATACTATATACTTTTTCATACAAATTTCATAGAAAAGTATCGTTTTCGAAATTTGGATAAAAGTATGGAATTTGAACTACCGCATTGCCCGCTTAGAGAAGAAGGAATGGAATGATTTTGAGTAAGTAAGAGACTGACACTCTCTAGAGAAGTCATTCGATGACTTTCCCCCTTCAAAACATTAAAGCCTCTTTGACTTTCCAATCAGGACTTTACTATACATGCTAGTATGCTGTAGCGAGCAACAATAGCTCATAAACAAATTGATTTGTGGTTACAGTTTATTTGCACACATTAATTAATTATTATTTCGGGTCACCCAGGGCGACACGGGAAAATCTTGGGGCAATGTTGAAAAAAAGTATCTAGTTAATAATAACAATAGTTTCCAGTTGACCCTCTCGTTGAGTTGGCGATTCTCCGCCTGCCGTTGTTAAGAGTACAAATTACATTGTTTCGGCAGGTGCCATGGTCTTTCGGTAGTTCCCATTATACTAGAAACAATGTAATTTTTTAGGCTATGGAGCCTTAGCCCTTGTTTCCATTATCCGCAATACTCCAACACTAACCGGGGATGGTCCTTGGGTGTATTTCGATAGTGCATACAGGGATATATAGTATGTGTCCTATTTCATTTAGATTAAAGTTGTCTAAAGAACCTTTTCGAGTTGGCTTCGGACCAGGCATGTTAGGGAGCTCCATAACTGTAACCGAAACTATCGGATATCCGGTATAAAAAAATATCCGTAACCGTAACCGAATCCGAAATAAAAGTTTCGTATAATATGGGTTAAGGACGGAGCCTAATTGAGACGCGTTATGTTTGTCTTTTACTTTTGAAATTCCTTAAAACTTTAATATCCGTAACCGAAATTATCCGAAACTAACGGATAATCCGAAATAATTTCATATCCGTATCCGGTATAATAATCATTCCTATATCCGTAATAAATCCGTATCCGAAATTTCATATCCATAACATCCCTACTTCGGACCCTCTTACGCCTTCCAAAGGTCAGGTATCTTCTGATCCCGTGAAGGGGAAGGAACAAACATAATAATAATGTAAAAAAACTTACCTTAATATAATTAGCGACAATGGACACGTTTTTAAAGTCCAACGCGGCGTCGATTTCGTCCATAACGTATAAAGGCGTTGGCTTATAATAATGCAGAGCGAATACTAGCGCTAAAGATGACAACGTCTTCTCTCCGCCCGATAGATTTGATATGTTCTTCCACGATTTGTTCGGGGGACGTACGCTGGAAAGAAAATACAGATACGGTAAGTTGGTAAAATGTGTTTTAGCGTAAATAACAATATATTCACTGAAAAGTCAGTGATAATTTGAACGAAAACTAATTTTTTTTTTTTATTTCAAAAGTACCAAGTAGTAAGTATAGTTATAAGTCTTATAAATACGTAAGTTCGTAAGTATAATTAGACACACAATCCTAAAATTGTTGTAACAATGTGTATGTGAAATTGAATGTTTGTTTACCCACAACACAAGCGAAAATTCAAGTGTTGGCGAACATATTAAAAAAATAATGATAAATAAATTTACCTGAAAATAATACCCTCAGTGAACGGGTCTAGCGAGTCAACCAACTCAAGCTCTGCATCGCCTCCCAGCGTAATCATTTGGTACATTTCCTTTAATTTTCCCGTTATTGTGTTAAAACCTGAAACATTTCAAAATTATTTCAAGTTTAAAAATAAGCCACAGATACTAAATATTTTTAATCAAGTTCATACTTGTAGTATGCATTAAATGGATCGATAGAGTTTCGAAGTTTAATCGCTATAATGACTCTCGACTTTTTACAAGTAATAGATATTTTTTTGTTTCTTTAGACATCACCTACAATAGTCTTACAAAATCTCGACTTTTAATCAACAGCAATAAATATTACATAGTTGAAAAGTTTGATCAGTTTGTTTGATTGTCATAATCAAATCAAATCTTCAAAGTGCTTGTTCTAATTGAACATTGAACAGGCTATAAATAATCACACTGCGACCAAATAATATTCAACATCAACTTAACAATAAAAATACAATATACATACCAGCTAAGAAATCTGTCATCCGTTTCTTCCTCAATTCATCGTGTAACGCTCTCATTTCATTCCTTCTATTAGTTATTTCATCTAACTCCGCCGCCCTGCGTATGTACAATTCCTCTTTTGCTTTGTAATCCTGAAATAAATTCAGTCAGTAAATTCAGTCAACGTATTTAGAGTTTTTAGAAAAAATATTACTAGTACGAATATTCACACAATCTCCGTTATAGCCAGACAAACATTAGCTAATAGTATATAAAATAAATTTAAAATTAGCGTGTGAGAGAGCCATGCTTCGGGTTGTCTCGAGCAGAGTTATACCACGCCTTACAGAAAACCGGCGTGAGACAACGTCAAATGTCGTATTTCGTGTCTCATCCCTCTCCAATCCCTAAATCCCCAGCAGGCACTACACTTGGAACTTTTCTGGTGTTGTGGGTATCCATGGGAGGGAGTGTCAGACTGAGTAAAAACCTGTTCCTTCTCAAGCACCAGACTGAGGCCATTGTACTTTATAACGCTTGCCCCGCAAACCCGGGACATTGTATCTATTTACTTATCAAAATATAAAATTCGTTAATTACCTGTATAGCTTGTATATTAGGCTTCTTATCACCGATCCTATTCTTCTGTGCAGTCAACCGGTTCCTCAACTCCTCAACATTAATTTCTGAAAGTTCTTCATCCGTATGCTGAGCTAATGGTGTCACTGGTTCCAGCTCCGCGATGCCTTCTATTTGTGGATCTTCTAGTTTTAAAGTTCGGAGCTGGAAAACAAATCAATGTCATTATTATCAAGAACATTGTAGGTTTCTACCAGTAAAATAATTTTGGAAATGCGACTAGCGGTTCCAAAGATTACCCCCTACATACAAACTTGCAAATTTTACCTCTTTTTAATATTAAGTATAGATAACTAATAAAGACCCGTTGTAACTTGAAACTAATATCCATAGTTCTTTTCAGTTAATTCATGTGATTAAATCGTTATTCCTATACATAAAAATGAATGAAACTGTTGGTTAGTCTCGCTAAAACTCGAGAACAGCTGGTTCTATTTAAATAATTTTGGTCCTAAAACATTGTTGAAGACAGGCGCGTTGCCGGCCTTATAAAAATCGTATCGGTTAGCTCCTTCTTCTATACTAATATTATAAAGATGTAAGATTTGTAAGTTTGTATATAGGAGGTGATTTTTGGAACCGCTGGTCGAATTACCAATCACTGATAGATAGCTACAATGTTCCTGAGTGCTATAGGCTATGAAACATCACGCTATGATCAAATGGAGCTGAGCAGCGGGTGAAACCGCGCGAGAGTAGCTAGTTTATTATATTAGTAAAGATATTATATATTTACCTCTTTTTCCCAATGCGGTATTTTGTTTGCGCAATCTTCCAGAGACTTTTGCGCTTTTCCGACGTCGTTTTTGCGTTCCATACGTTCTCCCTTGATCTTATTCTCCGTCGATTGTAGTTTATTTATCTCCTGTTTTAGTTCTTTGAATTCATCTGTACCTTCATTAATTTGTTCATCTAACTGTTGGGGGAAATAAAATTATTTCATTACCACATATTATAAAACAAAGTCGCTTTCTATGTGCCTATATCTCTATGTACATAAGCTTAAATCTTTAAAACTACGCAACGGATTTTGATACGGTTTTTTGAGTCGAGTGATTGAAAAGATTTTTTTTTTTTATTGAATAGGTCGGCAAACGAGCAGACGGATTACCTGATGGTAAGCAATCTGCGCCGCCCATGGACTCCCGCAACGGAGGAGTTACGATTGCGTTGCCGACCTTTTAGGGATTAGGGTTTTGGAGATTTAGGGATTGGGGAGAGATCGGGGGAGGGGAAGGATTTAGCCTCCGGTAACCTCAATCACTCGGCGAAACACAACGCTGTGGTTGTTTCACACTGGTTTTCTGTGAGACCGTGGTATCTATCACTCTTATGTATAATAACATCCATTAAATAGTGAAGAAATGTACTAAGTATCAGCATTGCACCTTCGCGAAGCCCGGGCGGGGTCGCTAGTGGCATATAAAAATAAGTTTTATAAAATAGCCCAATAGTAGTTGACATAGCCCAAAGGAATATGAAACTGAAATGGCAGTGGGCAGGTCGCCATTGTCGAAGAACCGATGACCGTTGGGGCAGCCGTGTTCAAGAATGGAGACCACGTCTAGGCGAATGTATGGCGCCCTCCAGATGCATAAAAGCATAGCTAGATAAAAGCACAAAAAAACTATGTTTTTATGTTTAGCATATTAATAAAAAAATCACTTACTTCTTCCAATTCCTTTTCGTATTTCGCGCTATCTAAAGTAAGCTGTTTCTTAGTATTATTCAATGTTTCAATATTTTTTTCCGTGTCCCGTAGATCGGTCTCCATTTGGTTTATTTTATCTTTAGATTTTTTGGCGTTCCTGTGGCGAAAAGAAAAAAATATGAATGGCTAGTTGTAGGTTATATTACATATTGAATAAAAAAATGAATTAATTGTATTGATTTAATCTACTATCAAATCGATTTTTGAAATCTTCCCTCACTACTATTATAAATGTGATAGTTTGTGAGAATGTATGCATGTATGTTTGTTATTCTTTGACGCAACGGCTGGACCGATTTGGTATGTAGATATATGATACCCTTTTTTTGTCAGGGGAAAATCATCCAATGATTTCTCCCGCCCAGGGTAAGGCGAGAGAGAGTGTTAGACTCTTACTGACTAAAAACCCCCCGTTCCTTCTCCTGCTCTGGGCCGAGGTCGCGGTGCCTCATTGCGCTTACCCCGCAGCGGATAGATGGTACCCTGGATTTACGCATAGGCTGCTTTTTATCTACGCACCAAGTGGGCGGAGGTAGTTAAACATAATAATAATAATTTTGATCTAGTCACTTTATACATTAGACGCTGGGTGCTTACGCCAGGTGCACCTTTAATTCATTAATGTATTTATTTTATAATATCCAAATTGTTCTGTTAAATATTTTGGTGTAATAATACTTTAGTGGTTATTTAACAAAGAAACAAAGTATTTTACCGTTTACTTGTGTTAATAGAGACTTTCAACTTGGTCATTTCCGAGTTGACTTTATCAATCTTCTTGGTGAGGTCGTCGACAGCTTTCTGAAGATCTCTCACTTTGCCACCAGCCACTGCCGATATTTGTTCGTCTATTTCATGAACATCGCTTTCGACCTGATGGTAAAATAATTTTAAAGCTATAAATTAGAACATAGTTCTTGTAGTTATCAAGTTTAATTAAAACTCACCTCGCTAGCGTTTTCTTTGGCCTTCTCCAGCTTCTTGAGTGCAGAAGCAACCGTTGCCTCTAAGCTGGCCTTCTGTTGTGGATCCACCCGACTGGCTGCTACTTTCTTCTCTTGTTGTTTTATTTGACTCTGTCGGCGAAAGAAAAACCAATGTTATTAGCATTTTATAAAGATGAAAATTATTTATATATGATGTGTTTTTTGTAGTGATGATAAATTATTCTGCTCCGACTATATCATACGGCCTTAAGCGACATGGTTATTTTCATACTAGCCGATCTCTCGAACTCCATACCGCCTTAAAATCTATATAAATATATTCATATAAAAGAAAGTCGTGTTATTCACACTATTTATAACTCAAGTACGGCTGAACCGATTCCGTTGAGAATTGGGTAGTTTCCTAGACCAAAAATTAATTCGATGTTTCAATAAAATAAAATATTGAAAAATAACTATACTTTTCATTCATGGATTGATCGATACTTAATTTTAGATATTTATTAACTAATTTTTAAGAAATAAGTGAGCTATTTGACGCTGAATACTATTAAGACAATTCAGTGTTTCAAACAAATTTCATAGAAAAGTATCGTTTTTGACTCGATTTGGATAAAAGTATTGAATTTCACTAGTTGGAAACTACGGTATCGGTAGGGATGTAGTTTAGACCAACAGAATAAGAACATTGGATAGGGTAGGGAGGGCAGGTTGGTGACTAGAAAAAGTAGTGTAGGTAGTCAAATGACGGGAACGACGTCGCTAGCTAAGTATAATTTCATAAGAGAAGCTAGTTAAGTATAATTTCAAAGCCTAATACTAACAGTTTTTATTCCTTGTCAAATATGAAGAACAGTTTATGTTAGAATAAAGGTTTAAGTTTTAGATATTTTTAATGCAATTTACAGCGCGAAACCTAGGTGTTACTACAGATTATAATCGAAAGTTTGGAAGTATTCTGCCTTCTACCTTCTGAAAAAGTCTGAATGAAACTTAGCATAGAGATAGATTACAAGATATTGAACTGATATAGCATAAATATAGGTTACATTTTACCTTGGCACTGAGAATACGGCCGCTAGCAGACACTAAATAAAAATAAAAAGAAGCTAGCTAAATATAAATATAATATTAATACCTGTATGACAGGAACTTGTTCCACTAAGTTCTTGAGTTCGATGTTGAGTTTGTTCAGTGCGGTTCTATTGTCGCGGACCGTTAGTTGAAGAATTGAGAGAGCTTCTTCTAACTCAGACACCTCGTTGCGAACTTCAACCAACCTGTGGAACAAATTTAATGTGAATATATTCTTTTAAAAGAAACATTTTAGCGAAATTAATCACCAAGACGGATTAGCGATTTCAAACTTTTTATTAGAAATTACAAGTCAAGATATTCTCACGATGTTTTCTTTTACCGTATGTCAGTGGTGTCTAAATAATCATAGAAAATCTGAACATAGAACTCGGAAATAGTCACATTGACACCTACCGGGTTTCGAATGCATGAGAAGCGGGCGCCGAAATTTTATAACTGATCTAAATTCTTAATGTAAAAGAGCCATTTTTAGGAACGAATGGGCCGGCTTGACTGGAGTGATACTACAGTCTCACAGAAACCGGCGTGAAACAACCGCAGCGTTGTATTTCGTCGTGTGATTGCGATTACTGAAGCCCCAACCCTCCCATCTGCAATACTAAACCGTCAAAGCCCTAAAAAGTCGTCAACTCACTTAATTGCTTACCATCAGGTGTTAAAATTGCTAAATCGCCGGTTTCCCACAAAAATAGAAAGGCTGACAAAACGAAACCAAGAGCGAAAAACTAGGCCCCTTTCCTCCCCTATCCCTATCCCTACCCAATCCTAAAATATCCGAAACCTTTATCCCTCAAAGGTCGGCAACGCACTCGTAACTCCTTTATTGTTGCGGATGTCCGTGGGCGGCGCTGATTGCTTACCATCAGGTAATCCGTATACACGTTTGCTGACCTATACCAGAAAACAAACTAGCAATCCAAACTAATATTATAAATGCAAAATGAACTCTGTCTGTCTGCCTTTTCTTCACGCCTAAACTACCGAACCGATTTCTGTGAAATTTGGTACCGACATAGTTTAGAACTCTAGAAAGGACATAGGATAGTTTTTATACATAAAAATCTGCAGGAAGTCACTGTTCCAAGCAAACGGAGTCGCGGGCAAAAGCTAGTTTAATATATCGGAGCATACCTTTGTTCCATTTTGGCTAATTTGTCTTCATTAGCCTTTATGACCCTAGGGTCTGCCTCGCTTGTGTCCTGTTGTACTGACGAAGACATTTTGCCGCGCGTTGTTTGCTTACCACCGCCCGTCATCGTACCTATACGACACAAATAATTGAAGAATTATATTTTATACGAACTGTGCCCTACAGTTTCAATTGCGTAGTTTATAGATATTTTCAGTGGGGATAGTGTATGTAGGGTTGCAGTGGTGAAGCTATTTTTCAAATTGGTCAAGTAGTTTTAAAGCATAATCAATACTCTTACAAACAAACAAATCTTTCCGCTTTATAATAATATAAACTTCTCGTATAGATGAATTCAATATTATCGTAAGTAATATGTTAAGGAGTGACGACTAAAGACCATCTAGTGATCAATGAGTTTTGGGACTTATTTTGTGTTCTCTTCTCAAGTTAGCTAAAGTAATACAAAGATTTTTAGATTTGAGTTATTTCTCAGAATTTAGCATAATTGTTTGACAAGTTAAGTCGATTACTTTCAAACCATGCCAGGGGCTCAAACTGGTCGAGTTCGTCGTAACGAGCATATTCCGTAATATAAAATAAATTTAATATTACTTGCCACATCTATACTAATATTATAAAGCTGAAGACTTTGTTTGTTAGTTTGTTTGAACTGAACAATTACGAATTGAAAAATTCTTTTTGTATTGAATAGATAGTTATTTATTGAGGAAGGCTTTGGGCTATAAAACATTAAGCTACGATATGAAGGACCAAGCAGCGGGTGAAACCGCGCGAGAGTAACTAGTTTATAATACGAAGTTTAAACATTTGATAAAATTAGTACATACCAGCAAGTTCAATAACATCTCCCTTCAAGCTGACCGTCCGATACCGCGTCCGTCCATACGCTATCCGTGTGGCTTGCTCCAAATCGTTAGCGACCAATGTATCGCGCAATGCGTAGTAGAATGCTGGTAGAACGCGTTCGTCTTTTACTTTGACGAGATCAAAGAGACGAGGCACGTTCTCTGGACTGAAAATTGTGATTTATTTTAATGAAGGTTAGGTTGAATTTTGCTTAGTTACGTCGAAAAGACTACGTTAATATTCGCATATTTTATTTTAACGTGTGTAGGGATAAAATTAGTGTAGCGTGTTCGATGTGAAATGGCAACTTATGTTTTATTATTTTTACAATTATATTACTATTTGTGTAGCAAATTATAGATATATATGGTGGGTAGGAAATGATAATTTATAGAATGCATTCGATGAGTATATCATCTATCGAATACATCCGATATCCGTAAGTGGGAATAGGTCGACTCGACCAGAGTTACAGGCTTCACAGAAAACCTTGTTGAAACAACCACAGCATTGTGTTTCACCATGTAAGTGAGGTTACCGAAGGCCTAATCCTTGAACCCTCAAAAACCCCTTTTCCTAACAATGCCGGCAACGTATTTGCAACTCCTGTGGTGTTGTGGGTGTTTATGGGTGGTATCAATTGCTTACCATCAGGCAGCCAATCCTTTACAAAGTCCTCAAATTATTACCAGATCGGCCATTTGGTAGCAACTTGCATCTAGCGACTTGCGATCGACCTTTACCAAGGTTTTTTGAGGGGGAAAATCATCCAATGTTGGGGGGAAGGAGTGTCTAGACTGACAAAAACCACCTCGTTTCTTTTCTTACCGGGTCCAGATAACAGTCGCCCGAACCGCAATTTAAGTACCAGAAAAAATTTAATGTTGCTATGTGCTACACAAGTTTATAAGGAACTACCGACCCATCCCAGCTTTACTGTGCAATGCTGATACCAAATTACTCCACTATTTAAACAATACATATGCGTTACGTAGTTTTAAGGTTAAAAATAAATAGGGATATAGGAAGCGACTTTGTTTAATACTATGTAGTGATGGAAAAGATGATGACAACGATGAAAAGGGCCCTAGATATTAAAAAATAAATAACTCACTAAGTATGCCGAGCAGCGTAGACTTGTTTCAAATGTTCCTGTTTATCCAAAGCTATGAAGGTGGCTCGTCCCACGTCGTTGCGTTTGAGGAACTCTACTGCAGCCTGAGCAGTCTCCACTGTATCTACCACGATATTGTCCAGCCCTCCACAACATGTCGATATGGCTACGTCGTACTTCGAATCGATACCGCCAAGGTCGCCCTGGTGAAAGAAATAAGTATTGAGTTTTTGGTAAAAAAACATTAAAAAAATCTGATTTGTTGTAGAGTCGGATCACGGATGGTAGTTTCACGGGACAACATCAACCATTAAAGTTGTTATAATACGACTTATAAGTGTCTATTTTAAAGGTTATTTATTTTGCGCAACTTGCGCTAATAGTTGGCGCAATAGGTCTATAACTAGCGCAACATGTCATTTTTGCGGTTACTTTTCAGACGGTTACTTTTGTATTTCGAACGAAAAATTGTTAACGCTTTGCGCAACTTGAACTGTAGCCTTTACCTTTATCTTATTATGTTTTAGGACAGAAAATTCAAGCTCAACATGTTTATACAGTGAATATGTTCGTATAAAAACACAAACAAAACAATACTCACCAACCGTCCGAATATTCCAGGCAGTCTTCCATTTCGCTTCTCATTCATGAGAGCGTTTAATACTTTGTTCCTGGACGTGTTAGCACTCATTGCTTGACGGGACTCTTCAATTTGTGCCCTAGAAAATGAATGGGTGGTAAACATTTTAGAAAACATAAATAAATAAATATTGCCAACTAGCGACTCGCCCCGGTTTCGCACGGGTGCAATGCTGATACTAAATTACTCCACTATTTCATGAATGTTATATTATATATAAACCTTTCTCTTCAATTACTCTATCTATTGAAAAAGTGCATCAAAATCCATTGCGTAGTTTTAAAGATTTCAGCATACATAGGAAGGGAGAAAGCGACTTTGTTTTATACTATGTCTAGATGGAAAAAAATGGTTTCAACAAATTAATATTTTGATGCACTTTGCGTATTTAAAAAATGTTAATGAATAAGTAGCAACGTACATACCTTAATGGTCGTACTTCGGCGATAAGTGTTGCCTCCTCTTTCTTCAGTTTTTGTATTTTATGGTTCATTTCATTCAACTGCTTTTCCTGTTGCGGTAAGCTTTGCGACAATTCTTCTTGTAAACTGTTAATTGGAACATATTTAAAAGTTAGCTCTATTATTACATTTATCAATAAGTTTTCATTTAATAAAAGCTACCTATGGTTTATCGAGTTAGGTCGATAACTAAAGGTAAACAATCTTGGTATGTATTTTTATATGAAGCGATCGGGGATCAAGGAACGATCTCCGGCCACCGTAAGCACGGGCCTGCGGTCGGCGAGTAAGGGCAGCTCGCCGCCCGACCAGAACCAGGCCCGAGCGTACGGTGCGTAGCGTTCCGCGCGCGCCTCAAAGAGCCATTCGACCACCACAGACGGGGCCCTAAAGGGCTGATGTTCAGCCGGGGTTGCGGGGTAAGCGCAATGAGGCACCGCGACCTCGGCACAGAGCAGGAGAAGGAACAGGGGGGTTTTTAGTCAGTAAGAGTCTGACACTCCCTTCCGCCCGGCCCTGGGCGGGAGAAGTCATTTGACGATTTTCCCCTCAAACAAAAAAAAATTCCTCGTTCCTTCTGCATTAGGTCGTGGCGCGGTGCCTCTTTGCGCTTACCTCGCAGCCCATCGCAGGAACATCAGCCCTGTAGGCTCCCGTCTCTGGTGGTTTATTAGCTCTTTGAGGCTGGTTATTAGGGATTTGAGGATTGAGGGAGGCGCAGGATTGAACAGCATACACATATTATACATAAAAAAGTATAGCAACAATAAACTTACGGTTTCTTCTGTTCCAAAGCAGAACTGGCCTTTTCATAAGCAGCTTGCATATTCTCTAGTTTTTCATTCTCTTTCTTCTCCGTACTAAGATATATTTTGAGCTCCGACTCTGCCAGTTTATAGCAATTATTCGCTTCATCGACTATCTTTTTTAACTCCATTAATTTGCCTTGTAACTTATCTTTTGTTTCTTGAAGACTTTGGGTCCGTGATCTGAGGGTAAAATATTGTTATTATTATTGATCCATACATAATTTAGTCGAAGACTAGGTAGGTTTGGATGAATCGTTTTTTTTTTCGAATGACACAAAAAGTTGCTTGATGTGAACCATGTATTTTTACGCAACCGGAGAAAATCTTAGTGTAGAGCAACGTTTTTTTAAAGATAAAATAAAATAAAAACAACAATCATATAAGTATCCGTTAAACTTATGTAGCACATATATACAAATCATGTTTTATTTTCAGATATATTTGGTCATAGAGGTTATACAGACGTTGACAAACTTTGCCTGAATACTTTGTCTAACAATATTTTTTCATAATTATAAATTACCTGACACTAGCCACAACAGCTTGTAATTCCTCCTCAGCTTTAGCCTTCTGTTCCGTATGCTTTTCTAAAAGTTTTCCACAGTCATCAATCTCCCTTTGATTCTTTTCTGGTATCTATAACAAAATAATTCAATATTTTGAACTTTAATTCTAGGTTTTTAAGGTTCATAATCGTTTTTTGTGCATTATTATTGAGAAACATCATTCTACAATGATTGACAGATTACATTCCAGTTTCATACACAGTTTTATTTCTTGATTTGAGCCTATTTTTAACTTTAACCACGTTAAAAATGTCCTTATTTCACTGCTATATTTATAAAAAAAAATATTTTTTTATTTACATTCCGATCTAGATAATTAGATCCATATGTAAAAAATGAATTATTATTTGTTACTCTTGTTAAGACTCGAGTAATAATAAAAACAATTACGTTATTTTTTTACGGCTCGGCTCGACCGGAGTCAAAGAGATACCACGGCCTCACAAAAAGCCGGTGTTGTTTTGGCACATGAGTGAGGTTACCGGAAGCCCAATCCTTCTACCCCCCTTCCTTCCTAATCATAATCCTAAAAAGATCAACAGCGCTTTATTCCTCTGGGTTTTATTGTAAGGAGAAAATCTTGTTCACTGGGAGTGTCAGACTCTTACTGACTTAAATCCCCCTGTTTCTTCTCCTACTTTGGGCCGAGGTGTCTCATTGCGCTTGGCCCAAACGCCTCTGGTGTTACGGGAGTCTATGTGCAGCAACGATTGTTTACCATCAGGTAATCCGTCTCGATTTTCGACCTCTAAAAGTAGCCATTTTTTAAACAAAATACTTACAAGTTCCAAATCAATCAACTTCCCCTTCTCTTGTTCAATAAGTTGGTCTAAATTCTTCTTCTTTTTGTTACTCTGCGTGAGGTCAGCTTGAGTAGTCACCGTACTCCGCTTGCAAGATTGTAACTTCTCTGTTACTTCCTCTTTCTTCTTGCGTAGGACATCGTACTTTCTAGAAGGAAAGATAAGTTATGAAGGTAATCTTCGCATAATGAGTGGTGAATGTGGTTGAAGCGAAAAATGTGGATGTGGTATATAACAATTGTGTTATTTGATACCTCTATGGAATTTTCAATGGAAAAACCTAGATATTTTAAAATATATTTTCTTATAAAGAAATATGTTTCAAAAGCGAATGATGCATCAGGGTTCAAACAGGTCGAAGGCCTGAAAAGTTGGCTACCTGACCAAAAAAAACCACAGTGGAGTGGACCCGACCCCAAGTTGCGAGAAATAGACAGAAATGGAGAAATTTAATAAACACGGTAGAAAATCTGTTAAAAAAAATGAAATAAAAATGTCTTCTAATGAATTTGAGTAACTAAAATTCGTCCATATTTCGTTCGATAACGAAGTCTTGTTCTAGGCATCCTATTTCAGACTGATGCTTACTTTGTGCCTTCTTTGAGTACACCTGTCTTCTCCTGTAGCTCTTCTTGAATTTTCTTCAGCTTCTCATCAATTTCTGCTAAGTTCGCCTTACATTCATCTAAGCTCTGCTGTTTAGTCTCCATTATCTTTTTTGTTTCGTAACTAAAAAGAAAAATCAAATTTAGAACAAACTAGTTGTCACCAGCACCTCCGCTCCGCCTGCGTGGAAGTCGATTTTAGACTTTTTCAAGTTTTTGTAAAATTTTCTCCACATACCAACCTCAAACACTAGCCAAACCAGTAAAGGCATTGTTGAGTTATAACATTACAACGAAAAGTGGCATTGATTTTTGTATACATATAGAATATAGATTTTATACTCACATTTTATTTACCCAAGAGTGCCTATTGGGAGTTTGCATTATGTTAAGGGGAATTGAAACATTTAGGACGTTCAACACTCTAATTGGCCAGCTTCAAATAAACCAACCAATCAGAGGCCTAAACACGGTAAAGTAAACTTACAACTATTATTGTTGGATACTAGTTTATTTGGATAACAAGAAATCTATACTAATATTATAAAGAGGTATGTAAGTTTGTATGTAAGGGGTAATCTTTGGAACCGCTTCCGCGCCGGTCGGATTGCAAAAATTCTCTCACTGATAGATAGTTGTCGGGAACATTGTAACTATCTATCAGTGAGAGTGCTATAGAATATAAAACAACACGCTACGATCAAATGGAGCTGAGCAGTGGGTGAAACCGCCCGAGAGTAGCAAGTAATCGATAAAGGCATTGTGCTGGGGTGGGCCAGTTTTTTTTTGATGGAAAATCATCTTCAATTGGCATTTTTCGACCTAGGTAGGAGAGGAAGTATGAAACTTTTACTGACTTAAAAGCGCCCCATTCCTTTCTTCTCCTGCTCTAGGCCGTAGCCCCGACCCCGACTGATGCAGCATCGGATGTTTTTTTTATTATGTAAGGTCGGCAAACGAGCAGACGGATTACCTGATGGTAAGCAATCAGCGCCGCCCATGGACACTCGCAACGGAGGAGTTACGAGCGCGTTGCCGACCTTTTAGGGATTAGGGATTTGGAGATTTAGGGATTGAGGAGGGATTGGGGGAGGGGGAGGATTGGGCCTCCGGTAACCTCACTCACACGGCGAAACACAACGCTGGTTATTTCACACCGGTTTTCTGTGAGGCCGGAGGGGAATTTATTGTAAGGCTTTAAGGTCATAAGAATCTACTTACATATATTTCTGTAGCACCATATTCCTACTCCTCGTATACGTGTTGGTCATGTTGAGCAGATCCACGGCTTCCTGCATAGGCTGCATTAACGCTTGCTTCTCTTGTTCAACCAAACGCACTCTGTTTAGTTTCTCTTTACGCAAATCGCTGTACTCTTCAACTTTGACTGCTAATTTTTCTATTGGTTCCTGTAGGGATAATATGCAAAGACTATTAATATTTTTTTAGCGACGAGAACAGACGTCGTGGTTGCCCGGAGGTTGAGGCGCCCGCTTCTCACGCATGAACTAGTACTATAAAGTAAGTACCAACATGACTTTTTTCGAGTTATATGTACATTCAGTGAAGGAAAGCATGGTGAGGAAACCAGGACTAGTTATTTCAAATTATAAGTTTGAAATCGCCTTGAGCAATCGCGGCGATTAATCCTTCTCCATGTGAGTAGAGGCCTTTGCTCAGCAGAGGACACTTGTTGGCTGAACTTGTAGATGATGATGAAGAGATAAGTAAAATTCCTTATGTTCGGAGGAGGGTGGATTATGCCTGGACCATAACAATAGGATAATTGATCCGGCGGGCAGACTATAATAATTACAAAAGCAATTTGTATATAACCTTGTATCTAGATGTGCCAATAATATCTTCTAAGTACTCCAACATTCCTGGTTCATGTTCCGTCACAGCTTTCGGTTTCATCATTGAGATTTGTTCAACTTCACCCTGTTACACAAAGAAAGAAAAATTAGGACTTACAAGAGTACTTCAATTAGTTTGGATGGACCTACGTAAAGGATTGCCACTTAATAGTGGAGTAGTTGTAACATAGACCAGCAAAATAAATAGTGGTGATTGAAAAGTAATATGCTTTCAAACACATATTATTTATATATAGTACTAATTTTATAGGCATGACTGTGAATTTAATTAATTTTTTATGCTATAGTTTGCTAATCAGCCTGTAGACACTAGTAAAATACCAAAGGATTGGTATTAAGAATGATATAAGGAATACATTGCCGGCCTCTTGTAAGGTTTTAGGGATTTGAAGATTGAGGATGAGAGGATTGGGTCTCCGTTAACCTCACCAACACAGCGAAACACAACATAAGTTGTTTTATGTGAGGAAGTGGGATCACTCTGGTCAAGCCGGTCAATTGATCAGACACAAAAGGCTCTCCCACACAATTATAAGCATATAATCAAAATTCTTATTTCGTATACAACTCACCTGCAAAATCAGGAACCGATTGTAATCCAAGTCTATACCATGTGACCGTAACATTCGAGAGACCTCTTTGAACTGCACTCGTTTTCCATTAAGAGTGTAGAATGAGGAGCTGTCCCTAAACGCAGTTCTTGATACCACAATTTCACTATTTGGTACTACTTCGAATGCTTCTCCCTCCTGAAAAAGGTTGTTTTGATTAATATTTCAACCTATTTGATGTAATATGCAATGTTTAGGAAGTTTAAGTCTACTTGGACATACGGACATACTATGCCACTGGTGATGTGCGAAGACCAATTTGAATTGGAAATAGGATTGTCACTGCTGTCGAGAAATCCAATAAGATTGATCAAAAAGTTAGGTGGCAACTTTTATACAAGATTGTAAGACTATTTTCTAAATAAATAAAAAAAGTGACTTCCCAGAATTGGGAAGAACGTTTATTGAATAACTTTACGCATAAAAGCATAAAGAGTTTAAAGTATAAGTAAATAAAAAGATAAATATATATATATATTTATGTAGGAATATTTTCACTGAAACCAAAACCTAAACTTGAACACAATGCCCAGCCACTGCAATAACCATATTGTTATTTTTTTTTTTCTATTTATTATTATTATGTGTGTTCTTTTCCACTCACGGGACCACAGGGTCCCGGACTTTTGGAAGGCGTACGAGGGGCCGAAGCCAACTCGCAGAGGCCCTTTAAACAACTTTAATATAAGTGAGATGGGACATCAGCCGGCAATTATCTCTGTATGCACTATGAAAGTGCACCCAAGGACAATCCCCGGTTGATGCAGGACTATTGCGAAATGTGGTAAAAATTTATAGGGTTATGGGTATGGGTTGCTATGGACTGGTGAATATGATAACTATGGAAATACTATGGCCCCTGCCCCTGACCAATATTGATACATACGGATAAACAGGCAGGGGGTGACTGGCAAACTCAATTAATGGGCCCCCGGAAACGGCCGCTAGCATGTAGCGACAAGGGGGCAACATACGTTGAGCTGCTTGGGGAAGGAGAGGTATCCCATGGCTATCAGAGCAATCCCGGAAGTACGGTCAAGACCCCTACCAGCATCTTACTGAGATACATCCTTCCCCCGAGTCTCCTTCAACTCCTACTCTTGCGAATCTCCACTCAAGCCAGCCAATTAAATTATTATTGGTTATAGTGACAGTCAAGAAAAAAATGCTTAAATAAAACTTACCCCATCAATAATTCGGCAAAAATGAACTGCCACAGTTGTACTAGTCAGGTTGGGATACTTGCTTGATGAATGGATCAACACGGATATCTTTTTTGATCTGATCTTTGAAGCTCGGTATCCAAACACAAATAGCATAGAGTCTATTACATTACTTTTACCACTGCCATTAGGACCTATGATCGCTGTGAAGCTCTGAAAGAAGGTTGGATTATCATTTATGGTAATTTAAAACTTTTTTAACAAATGTACTTTTAATTCATTTAACTCCTAGCGAATTTGTGCACCTATTGATCTTCTGTTTAGCCTTGGATTACCAAAATTGAAGGTTATATGAGTCCAATTGGTAACTTATTGGTTGAATTGTAAATAAAAATGCTAAGTAGAGATATGTCAGGTAGTATTTCCAAGGTTGTTATAAGATATTTTAAATTACTTAAATAAATGTTCATTGTAGTTTCTTGTTCGGAATAAAATTGGGCCTGGTGTAGAATTCCTGTTGTTCTATGGCACTTCCAAGATATGTATATTACAAAAATGAGTGTCACATTTAAATTTGCACTTAAAATTACATGAAGTAATTCATCTATGAAGAGAGTTTAAAAATTTGAAAAGAATGCAAATGTGTCATATAAACACAGATATGTAAACAAAGTCAAATGCTTTCAGTAAACATGAATGATAGTCTCTTGTCTCAGGTTAGTGACCTTAACCTCGTAATTCTATACAACTTACCTTATGAAACGGCCCCAACACTTCAACTCCAGCATAACTCTTAAAGTTCTCATTCACAATGTGTGTTATTATAAGTCTGGGCCCTTTAGAATCGAAAGAACATGTCGGTTTCGGAGCCGGCGGTATGTAAATATCTCCTATACGAACTCCACCTTCTTCATCATCAGATATGTGATCAATTTCTTCGTGTATTGAAGTCTCAGCATTACCATTTGTATGGGTTGCATTTGAAGGTTCACCAACTTCCATCGCATTGTCCTCCACCTTTCGTTTTTTAGATTTCTGCATCTTGAAGCACTAACCCAAAACAAACACTGCTTATAATGTCTCTTATATAGTCGCACTTGTTGATATTTATCGGAATAAGGAAAGCTAACCGTTTAAAAAATTCAAAGCGCGTTTATTGTATCCAAACATTTGACAGTTAATAATTCCCTCCCGAAATTAGAGATGCGGTAATGACTTTTGTAAATACCGTTTAGTAGAATTTTGTAGTGATAAAATTGTATTGTAACCTTTTTTCTATTTTTGCACTACGCAAAGCGGAGACAAAAGTTATGCATTACATGAACAAAAAATAGAACACAGTAAGTCAATACTTTAGAAATCTGATCCAACAGACAAACTGTGTATACAGTTTTGTTGGACATTTTATACTTTTTATAATGTAAAATGTACCTTCTAAGCAATAATAAATAAATAAAATAAATAATAAATGTTGACTGTTAAAAATGACAGTAATAAAACTGAACCGAAACAAATAATATTTAATAATAATATGTGACAATATTGCATGTAGATTGTATAATATTATTAATATACAGTAATATAAAGTCAAGTCTACTGTAAAGTCTTATATTGTAAAGTACTAGATATAATATTGTGCATGCATACTTTATAATGCATGTAGAAGCCGAGATGTAAAAAAACGTGAATCATCATCATAGTCACTTGCTGACTTGCTACTTGGCTAACTACCTTAAATTAGAACAAATTAAATATTCCATTCTATTCATCATATCTGTATGTGTGACAATCATTGGCATTGGATGTTATCCCGGGCGTGATCCGCGACTCTGTAACTCAACTCAAAATAATGCAAAGAATTCAGCAGAACTCAGATCGTATACCTGGTCAAATCCAGCATTTTCCCTGTGTGACTGCTTTGTCTATTTGTTCATAATATAAATTAGCAACAATTGTTCATTTTCAACCATTTAATTTTAAATTTAATTAATAGTCATTTATGACTATCTGACTAAATAAAAGGCCCATCATTAATTTTCGTCCATACATATGAAGAACTACTCTAGTCAATTTTTTTTAAAAATCGAGCTGACAACCTGACAACTGTCACTTCTGTCACAACAAAAATGGCGAACCGCACGGTGAAAGACGCGAAGTCAATACGAGGCACAAATCCTCAATATTTAATAGAAAAGATTATTAGATCACGTATTTACGATTCTAAATACTGGAAAGAAGAATGTTTTGCTTTAACTGCAGAATTACTAGTCGACAAAGCTATGGAATTGCGGTATGTCGGCGGCGTGCATGGAGGTTTCATCTATCCGACTCCGTTTTTGTGTTTAGTTTTGAAAATGCTTCAAATCCAGCCTGAAAAAGACATTGTAGTGGAGTTTATAAAGAATGAGGAGTTCAAATATGTGCGTGCTTTAGGAGCATTTTACATGAGGCTCACAGGGTCTTCAGTTGATTGTTACAAGTATTTGGAACCTCTTTACAACGATAATAGGAAGCTGAGGAGGCAAAATCGTGAAGGACAGTTTGAAATAGTCCATGTAGATGAGTTTATAGATGAACTTCTTCGTGAAGAACGTTTGTGTGATGTAATTTTACCAAGAATACAGAAGCGTCACTTTCTTGAAGAGAATAATGAGCTGGAACCTAAAGTATCGGCCCTGGACGACGATTTGGACGAAGATATGCCGTCTGATGAAGAAAATGTTGATACTGAAGTAAAAGAAGTTAAGAGAGAGAAAGAAGCTGGTAGGAGAGGTGAAAGAGAAAGGAGGAGGGACAGGTTAGTTTGGACTAAACAACTGTTGAATGTTGTAAATGAAACCTTTTTAGAAATGGCTCTCTTTGCTGTGATTTATGAGCAGGTTTTGTAGTAGTTCATTTGTGTGCAGTAAATCAAGTAGAGGAAGATTCTTTTGTGATTATAATTATGTTTGTTTGCCTCAGTAAGCAAACATCACTTAACTTAAAAAATTAAGTTGGCATTTACAGTAGAGTTATTATCAATACCATGGTAGTCACAAAATTTATTCATTGAAGATTAACTTATATACTGGAATTTATTTTAGCAAATCCTTTATGTTTCATTTTAATTTTCAGATCAAGAGAACGAGACAGACGTGATAAGGACCGCAAAAGAGAAAGATCTAGAAGCAGGGACCGTGACCGTAGAAGAGAGAGGGATCGTGAACGGGAAAGGGACAAGGAGAGAGAAAAAGAAAGGGACAAAGATAGGTCTAGGGAACAGAGGGAAAGAGAAAGAGATAAGGAACGGAGGGACAGAGATAGACATGATGTTGATAGGAGAAGAGATAGAGGAAGGTACTGATAAGAATAAAAGTTTGTAGTTTTTAATAAATGGTGGTTTTATTGCATTTAATGCCCTTTATTTTAGTGTACAAATAGCTATGCACAAATATTAGAATGCTGTATGATGTATAGTGTTGCCACTGAAAATAATTATTATTAGTATGCTAAGTTGCTTACAAGCTTGCTCAATGGAATGCTAGTATTGCTAGTGTTACTTTAATTATTTACATTAAAATTCCACTCAATACAAGCTTATGGTCAATCTTTTAAGCCAAATTAAATACCTAGGATATTTTTAAATGGGACAGCAAAACAAGTAGACAGATCACACTAGCAACACTAGGATTTAATGTATGTGCTGGCCTTTTGGGGATAGGAAAATTATGGAATGGAGATTGGGGTATAGATAATGTGGATGGAGGATGAGGGAGGAGGATCAAGCTACTGGTTTGATTGCCAAAGTTACATGTTTACCAACAATAATTAAAATTGTAGGTAAAACATTAATTAGAGAAGGATGACTGAAATAAAAAAAAGCTAAATATGAAATGACATGTATATTTAAAAAAAAGTTATTGCTATGATAACAATTTCATAAAAATAATTCTCTTTATACTGACTGATTTATTTTACCAGTACATATTTTTTTATTTACAACAATTTTATTAATAGGTCTTTTTTAATTACCTGGCTAAATAAATGGACCAGCCATTGTTAATTTTAGCCTATACATAGCAAGAACAAGGCTAAAGCAATGTAAGGAACTGTGTAAGTAATGGAATTGCTTTGGAAAATAATAATAATATTGACAAATATATCATTAAGATTTAATTACCAATTCTGCAGATTTAGAAAGGAAAATTATAAGTACTTTCAAATGAAACAAGTAATACATTCCATGTAAAATTACATTACTTATACTTCAATTTTCGAGTATGCTCGACTAGTTTCAAGCTTCAGTAGGGCTTACAAATGAACTTCGTTCGCCGTTATTTCGATTATATTCAAACATTAATTCTGTTCCCCCTACAAACTGGAGCTGAACTTTTGTTAGACTGTATATATGCACATACATAATAATAAGCAAACTGATGTTGGGTCCAAATGTTGGCCCCAACACCAGTCATCTAACGTTTAAGCTAGAAAATTTTACCCAAATGTTGGGGCCAATGCTATTCTTTTGGCAACATTGTTAGATGGGTGGATTTTAACTGCCAAGCCATCAAGCCAATGTATGAATCCAGTGTCTGTCTACTTAGTATTATGTACCTATACCTACCTATATATGATGTCGAATCAAAGTTAAGCTCCAGGTTTTGATGAATTTTGCTTTTTCTTCTAAAGTACCACACTGACATTCATTATTGTATATTTGTTAATGTATATGAAAGCAGAAGATAGGTAAGTACATATTTATATTAATATGCGCTTTAGAGTTACTCGTACTTTTTAATTTATTATGTCTATTAGGAAGATCATTCCAAATTCTATTCATATAATATTTAATGAGCATAATATTGTAATAATATTTCAACTATCTACATAATAATGTACACAATTTATCGATCGATCACCCATGGTATTCTTTGAACATTTATCTATAATTTAATTAGTATTAAAATCATAGAGATCTAGACTAAGCTAGATACCGCATCGTCTGCTAAATATGGTATTTTAGGCACATACTGTACAACTACAGTTAACATTTTAGCATTGTTATTTATTTTATTGATTTGAAAATAGTAGACTTACTAAAAAAGACGGCTTGAAAACAAATGAATGTATGAGGTGTAGGTATATAGTATATATCACAGGTATATATACTGCACACACATAATTAAGTTTCTTTTATTGGATAGGGCGGAGTTGTAAGTGAATTGCTCGTCTTTTGGGGTGTAGGGATTTAAGGATTGAGGGAATGGACTGAGGAGGTTTATTTATCAGTGTACCGGCTCAATAGGGTTGTTTCCAGCCGGTCCATCGGTGCCGTGTATAAACTATAAAAATCTAGCCTGATACCGAAACTTGAAGAGAAAATGCGATATTTAGCCTATTCAAAATCTTTAACAAAAATGCATACTAAATGCATTAAAAATTATTTTATTCGATTCATAATTTGTATGTGTATAAGTAATATAATAATTTGCCTAATTTGATTATTCCCGTATTTCATACAATTTTATATTGCTAATATGATAAATAATAATAATATTTATATTGTTCTCAATATTATTTAAATTAGAGTTTAAAAGGAAAAAAATAATTTTCATTTCTTTGTAGAATTCATTCATATTTGAAATCAACTTTTTTTTGCTATCGGTAGTTAGTAACTTAGCAAGAAAGCGCAAGGCCCGCCCTATGATTAGCGGTCACCGTATTTTTTTCGTGTAAAATGATTATAATATTCATGATTTATAAGAGAATACCTAACTAAATAACCGAAATGCTAGAATCAAGACCAACATCAAAGATGGGTCAGATTCTCTTCGTTCAATCACTGTAGCTATGATTATTTCACCAATTATTAGGCATGTTTTTATAATAACTATCGTGAAACATACTAAATTAACTAAAAATCGCGGGTTACTCACGTGTATATATTGAGAAAAGCTCTACTAGTTTCGAACCACAGAGGGGTTCTTCCTCATGAGCAGCGTGCGCGGACGCGGCGACGTCGGAAGAACCCCTTTGTGGTTCGAAACTAGTAGAGTGAAAACTATACACGTGAGTAACCCGCGATTTTTAGTTAATTTAATTATTAGGCACTAACAAATTCTCAATAGGTTTACCGCTTTAAATCACCAGATAGCGCTAGTGTACCTATCAACTATCGTCCAATAGGGAATTAGCTAGTGTCCAACCATTGGTCATAAAGTTTTTCATTGCTTGTGATTGGACAAACCAGAACAACTTGCTAGATTAGTCTTGTAGTGAGTAAAAAAGCGGTTTCTACGGACAATATACATTAGTTCCCAGCAGCCATACTAGCGACAAAAATAAATATGTCTTTATTAGCTTTACAAAGATTACCTGATGAAGCTTGGCAACCAAACTTCCATGATTAATATAGGTTTATAATCGCTTCTAAACAAGGTGGCGCTAGTAGCACGTAAGCTCTCTAGCATATTGTTTGTACAGTATCTGGCGATAAATACTGACGTTTTTTTTTTTATTATTTGATAAAAGTGCTAGACTAGTTTTAGTAGCTCATAATTATGAGTAGTATATACTTTTTTTGTCGCTCTCCTAATGTAGATTTTCATTTGTTTATATTTCATAAAAAATACCAAGCTTTTAATGCTAATGAGTACTATCGAGTACTTACCTAATTCAATTTTGACTTTATTTGATAGGAGAGAAGAGTAGTCCAAAAGTAGATGTGCAATATCTATTGCCGGGTACTGGATAAATATTATACAAGCAACACTTTATAAATATAAATTCAATCTGTTCATTGGCCACCTCAGTAATTTCTCAGATCATCAGGCTTTATTCATGCAAAATTAGGCTCCAATATTCCAATAAAGTAACTATCATAACTTTAGTAAGTTTACAGTTATATTGAAAATATAAGGAAGCATAGATTTGAGATTTGATATTTATATTCCAATATAAATTTTATTCTCAAATTGATAATTCAAATAACCAACAATAACAATAAATTCATGCTAAACACAGATCGACAATACTGTCAAATTTACACCTAAAAATATTCACAGATAACAAATTCGCGGGTTAATTTGACGTAAAATCATAGACAATCCTCAGCGCTGGAGTTTCGATTCAAAGAGTTTTTAATCATGCCACTCAGTGAAGGCACACTAAACTTTGGCTAGAATGTTGGTGCATGCATTATGAAGATTCTTTGTTCTTCTTTCTTGATCCATTTGAGTAGACGGTCTACTGCTTTTATGGCTTGGTCTTTTTCCATAAGAGGGTCGAACGTTACGTAAAGTTCGAAGCCATTTGTAACCTGTAAAAGTAAAGATTAAACAAATACAAATCAATGTTAGATATCATTTTATCAGCCGGGGTTGCGGTTTAAGCGCAATGAGGCACCGTGGTCTCGGCCCAGAGCAAGGGAACGGGGGGGGGGGGGGGCGGGTTAGTCAGAAGAGTCTGACACTCCCGCCCTACCCTGGGTCGAAGAAGTCGTTTGATGATTTTCCCCTCACAAAAAAGATATCGTTTTTATTAGAATCTATTCAATAAATTTCAATGACACTTGGAATTACAAATAGCAGGTTACTTTTAAAACATAGATGTCCCATTTTTTAGACGGGGACTACTATAATGTTTCGTGGTCTCGGCCTGGAGTAAGAAAAGAATCCGGGTTGTTTTTAGGGTGCAGATCCATTGAGTCGGATTGGAGCAGCACCGCCTCAATGGGACCCTTAGTTAGTTAGAGTCTGATACTCCCCTCTTCCCACCTAGGGCGAGATAAGAAATTAGACGATATACCCCCTCAAAAAAGTATATACCTTCACTTAAATTTGATCAAACTTTAAAATGACATAATAATCAAAAAACAACTCACCCAAGCCAGAATAGTATCACAGGAATTCGACCGAAATATCAATTTAGCTGGCGTTGAAGTACAATGTATTGAACTGCAGAACTGCCTGTAGTTTCTAACATAATCAATGTCGGATAGCCGTTCAACTTTTTTCACAGTAATATCACCACCTTCTTTATGCCTCAACCTATAATCTTGTAACTTGTCTAAGCTAATGGGATCAGAGGTGAACAGTTGCGCAGTAGATTTGCATTTATACATAAAATGCCTTATTTCTGGTATACCGATGTGTTTTAAAGGATTTGTTGTTGGTAGTTCCTCGTTTCTATTCAGAGCGTCGTTTATGGCGACCAGGCAGTTCGATCGTCTCAGTTTGTCTGCGATCGTGTGTTTTGCTTGTGACAGTGGGAAGAAGGCGTCGCGTTGAACTGTTAAAAGTAGGAGGCAGGCTTGACAGTCTTCTGAGATGTAGGAGACGTGACCGTGGAGGAAGCCTCTGGAAAATTGAGGAATGTTCTTTTAAGTTTTATTCTCTGATGACAATTAGTTTAGACACCATCTTTTGAATTTCCTTAGAATTCCCTTTAGTTGTGTTTAGTCGTGTGGATGAGGTTACCACTCCTTCAATTTATAAATCTCCAAAACCCTAATCCCCAAAAGGTCAGCATAGTACTCGTAACTCCTCCATATGCGGCGCTGATTGCTTACCATCAGGTAATCCATCTACTGGTTAATGATCCTATCACATAAAAAAGACGTGATTTGGCAATCCTTCGTACTCGATTTAGGCGGCGCTGATTGCTCACCATCAGGTAATCCGTCTACTGGTTAATGGTCCTATCACATAAAAAAGACGTGATTTGGCAATCCTTCGTACTCGATTTGTGCTTGCCCTTTTTTGTTTTCAAGATTTTTATTGTCAACCTTAATATGTTCAAAATGTATATAAGTTTCGGGCCATCACTATAACACTAAGAATAAGCTGAAAGAAAAACACAAAATAAACTTACGTCGAATCGAATTTCGGTAAACAAATCGGCGTCCAACTTTCGGCTGTCTTAAATGACTCTGAACTCCGAACCAAATTGAACAGAAGGTGTATGTCAGACGGATGTAGGGTGTACTTCTTCATTCGAACTAAAGTAATCAGTTGATTGCCAGCGATCAATATTGCGAAGACCAGGTCTCTAATCTTGTTGCACGTTGTCTGAATTGCATTTGTTATGTTCTCCCTTGCTTTTTCTGGTAGAGGGAGACAACGGACTGCGCCTGGAAATAAATTGGGTTTTATGTAATTTACTGTAGTTTTCTTTAGGCTGATAAATTGTAGATTTTAGGGGGAAGTCGCAGGGCGCTATCAAGGCGGTTGGCGCTGACAAACGACGCTATTATTATTATTTTTATATCTTGCGCCACCGAAAAATTTTTTTCATTGAGCTATACATATGTATACATATGTATAACGATATCCTGAACTTTGTTTATTTTTTCGCACGAAAATACTTAGTCTATTTACCAAGGAAGGCTATATGCTATAAAATTTTAAATCGTGATCAAAATGAGTCGAGTTTCGAGTAGCAAGTACGCACGAAAGCTAGGAGTGAAATCGCGCGACAGTATCTGATAACATGTTTGGCTTCAATTCATAAGCCCTATTACACATATATAACAGCACAAAAACTCAAATGCATTACATCACAACACAATATAAAACAAAGTCGCTATCTTCTGTCCCAGTCCCAAAATTAAATATGCGCTTTTTTAAAAGATTGAGTAACTGAAAAGGAAGGTTTATATGTATAATAACATCCATTGATTAGCGGAGAAATTTAAGTAGTTTCAGCATGGATCCCGTGCGTAGCCGGGTTGGGTCGCTAGTAGATATTCATATAAAATAGAAGTCGTTTCATAGTTCTATTGACTTACCAATAATAAAAAATAGGACAATAGTATTACAATACTTAATACTTCTCACTAAACTCAAGGTCACTTGGTCAGTAACTACCTAGTGTTTTTTGATCAAATTGTGTTAAGCCGACGTAGGTACAGTCAGTATTAGTTAGCTAATATTTATCAGTTAAGGGGCCATATATTTTGGGACTTTGATTGGCCGGCTCCAAGTAAACCAACAAATAAGAGGGCTAAAGACGCGGTATCGTTTCGATATAAGTAATGTTGAGAAAATTCTCACTAGGCGTAATAATGGCCGAGAGATGATCTCCGGCCACCGTAAGCGCGGGTCTGCGGACGGTGAGTAAGGATAGCTCGCCGCCCGACCAGAACCAGACCCGAGCGTACGGCGCGTTTCGTTCTGCGCGCGCCTCAAAGAGCCAATAGACCACCACAGACGGGGCACTATTAGGGCTATACTATGTTCAGCTGGGGTTGCGGGGCAAGCGTAACGAGGTGCCGCGGTCGTCGCCTAGTGCAGCAGAAAGAACAGCGGGTTTTGGTCAGTAAGAGTCTGATAGTACAATGGGAGAAGTAATTTGATGATTGGCCCTTGACAAAGACATGATGATAATGATGTGGAATGGAAAATTATAATAATTTAACTCACCTAATAAAAATGCGGGATCTTTCTCCATAAATATAAGTAAGTGGTCAATAAGTCGCTCGGCCCCAGAGAGCAATCGCCGTAGATCGTAGTTCCGTCGTTGTTCGAATATTCTGTTCAGCTGCGTTAGAGTAAGTACTGATACTATTTGGTTAAATGCATATCTGAAATGTAAGGCGTATTTTTATAGGTATAGAGTTTAAAATGCAATACGAGATGCAAGCTGTGTAATTGATGAATATTATTTCATGATATTCAGCCCGCGGCTTTTCGGCTGCATGGTATGAAGATAAAAAACAGCCTATGTTAATCTAGCATATCAACTATAATCTATATACCAAACTGGTCCATCTGATTGTGCGTAAAAGAATAACAATCATACATCCATACATTCTCACAAACTATCACATTTATCTTATTAGCAGGATAGAGCAAAGAGAAAAACATTAACAAATTAATATTTTTTAATTTATTTAAAACTAGCTTTTGCCTGCGACTCTTTTCGCGTGGAATACTGACTTCCTGCAGATTTTTGGTGTAAAAACTATCCTATGTCCATTCTCGAGTTCCAAACTATGTCTGTACCAAATTTCACGGAAATCGTTTCAGTAGTTTAGGCGTAAAGAAAAGACAGACAGACAGAGTGACTTTTGCATTTATAATATTAGTTTGGATATAATGAAAACAATCATTATCCTCATTTTAAATCTTTTCACCTGTTTACTAGGCTTTAGTAATTAACTCTTCGCCAGGAACAGACCCATCTTACTGCAAACTACTTATATTGTTTATGATTTGAGAAATAATAACGAATAACATTGACTTGGGAATGAAACTTGAGAAGAGGTTTAACTTAACACTGAACCTACAGACCACACAACATAGAAAACAGATTAAGAATTCCTACTTACGTTAATTGTAAGACAAGTTGTGTTTCACTCTCATTTGACTTGGAAACTGCAACCAATATCAAAGGCCCCTTCACCAGGAAGACTGCCTTACAATCATTTGTACTGATAGATCTCAAGATATCCTGGTTTTGTTCTTCTACTACACTTACTAAAGCTTGTATAACACCACAAAGGCCAGCCAACTTATCTTCGTTACCATATCTGGAATTGTTCAAATATGAACTTTATTATTTGCCTAATAAGTGTTAGTATTAGAACTTCAAAGTATTAATTTCATTATAGTGAGTGTATAAGTTGAGTACCTGATTGATCAATGTCAATATAAATAAATATGACCAACTATTTATTAAGTATTACAATGTAAAATAGAATGTAACAAAGAAGCCGTAAAGTATAATTTAATTTGTCTTAATCCTACAGCTACTAAGTCACTGCCTTAATTAGTGTAACAATAAAAAAATTAAAACAAAAACATACTTGCCTAGAATATATAGGTTTACCAGCAGAGCTTAGTATGAACACATGTTTCTCTTTGTTAACCAACTCAGGGGATTGTAGATAGTCATCCTTCTCCGTGTCTGTTTCATCACCATTCTGTTCCATCAAGTTTGAGTTGCTAGTTGATGCCGATATTGACTCCTACAATCAAAAGTCCAGTATTAAAACCTTCTTACAACAAACTGTTTGTAAAGTTCTCATAAGCATTGATAAATAAAAAAAAAACTTACATCTTTAGTCTGTAAATCATCACTGGATTTTGTAGGCTTCATTTGCGCAGAATCTTCTGCAATTTCACTTTGTATCTCACAAATAGTACTGTTTTTTGTTGCCAATGATATATTCCTTTCTTGGAGACTCGAGCTCATCTCCGAAGCGAACTCTTCAAAAGAATCTGTGGGATTTAGGATACTGTCGTGACATGCACCAGGTTCCAAATCGTCTGGAGGATTATCCTGGATAACGACCGTCGGAACATCTTTGGAAGTGGAAGCCATAACGTATAATTTTCAATAAATAAATAAAATATTAAAATATACTTTGCTACTGCAAAACGGCATCAATATAACGTTACTGAGTTCCGTGCGTTACGTAGTCAGCTTATCGAAACAATTATTATTTTATCGTTCTATTTCTTTTACACTTTTGCATAAATCCTCGGTATTCTCTTTCTAATGCTCTTATTTATGTTTGCGTTCGGAACGCTAAATAATAGGGTGTTTTGTCATTTTGACGTGATTTTGACACTGACTTTCGCTGTCGTAATTGCCATTTCAAAAATAATGCTGTAATAAAAATCTTAAATAAATAAAATCTTATAAAAAGTATGTGGTACTAAAAATAACATAAAATTATTTGCGGTTTAAAAAACCGCCTGGTAGACTGCCCGTTGCCTATCTAAGTGCTTTCAAATAATAAAAAAGAAAACTTACCTATACAAAATTAACATTTAAATTGAAATAGGTACCTACTTAAAGATTTCCTTCGTGCCATATTCTGAAATAATGTAAATCTAATTCTTACTGAATTAGTTATAAGGCCTTTGTAGACAGACTAATGGACTTCGTTTAATTTCGTGTGTTAGTCTGGAACTCGTAAGTAGAAAGAATAAAAACAAAAACGAAATAGATTTGAGTAGGCGTTCACCATGCTTGGTGATTTTAATCTTACAAACTAAAAGTCCGGTATTCCACGCGTTGTAGGTCTTCACCGTCAGTAAATGGTTTCGTATAGATTTTAGGAAATATTAATTTGAAAAATTCGCAATAGTACTTCTTGCGTTTTTTTTCCTAAACCACCTTAAATACTTAAACAGCGAACGTCGTCAGCGAATTCTTAATACCTGTTATAAAAAAGCAACGAGTAACGTTATTACTTTTAGTCATTAGTATTTTTTTACCTTTTCTAAATTTTTTATTACCTACCTAGTTGGAAAAGTCCTGCTTACTCCGGAACGCCAAAACATCATTCAAGAATCTATTTACTCCAGCGAGACTGACGATGTCGTCCATTCACCTAGTGGGAGGTCTGCCCACGCTAATTGGTGCATCGGCCATCCGTACTTCGAACAATGTGGCCAGTCAGGGAATAGTTTCTCTAAAAGACGACAAGTATGTAAGGATATTAATTACTTAATCCAAAGGAAGCCTATTGCTATAATTGTTATAAACACTCACTTGCATGCTTTACTTCAGAACGGGCCAACTGGCATGAGTCTTTCCTCAAAAGACCACTACGGAATGAACTGGCACAGTTTTCACATATTTATTTTTTTCACATCGTCTAGGACTTGAAAAGAGAGATGAGAGATGATGAGAGATGGACCTTTGAGTTTGTTTCGGCATTTCTTCTCAGAGTAGTTAATTAATATAATTTTGACGTTAAAAGTACTGTTTTATGGCGTTTTTACTAAAATAAATTCATTGTTTCATTGTTGATTATGTATTTTATATCATACTATCAACCCGTCCGGGCTTCGCACGAGTGCAATGCTTGTTTCTGTTATGGATATTATATTTCCACTAGTTATTGGATATGATTATGTATGAATACATAGGAATAAACAGTCCAACAGATTAAAGCATACATCGACTTTTTATAAGCGATTTTGTTTTATAGTATGTAGTGATTTGCAAGACGATGACTTCCATGAATCTATATTGGCAGGTAATTACTCCTTTTTGGAAGACCGATAACGCATAGGTAATTCCTATTTATTTATACATTAAAATCAATAGCTACTTATGAGTAATATTCCCGAAAGCAATAATTTTATTAAGATACGAAATAATTTTAGTGAAAAATAAATAAGTCGAATTTCTGCTACCGACAGGATACTGATTTCATTTTCGTCTATTCATAATGAAGGCAATCAATGGATCATTTGACACAGATTCCTCTTGACAATAGAAAGTCACCTAAGTCTATTGGTACTAAAGATATTCGTTATCTACAACAAAAGTATCTTAAAGTGGAAATGTAGAAAGGTATTCAAGTAGAATAATGTAACAAATTGTCACCGATTGGACGCGAGGGTTCGTGAGCTATGCTTCATGGTCGACCATGTGGAACAAGCTGATAACTGTTCAGTTGTAAGTCCTCAGCTTAAGGTGTGTACCTATTACAGGGACGGACTAGGCTGTGAGAGGCGGGACGCTTTAGCTTGATGGGCCCCTCATGCTAACACAACCCACCCTTGATAGCATAAGGTAAGATAAAAGATAGGCCTTTGTTTATCGGTTGATTTGATAAGTTATTTAATGTGTTGAAGATTTTAGATTGACATTTGGCGTGATATTAAATATACTTATTAATGACGATCATAAATGTGCCTTAGATGATGTACGCGTATGATTATGGTCACCTAAAGTGAAAGTGCTTAAATGACTTACAATAAAAATTAAATTGAGAATGTGTCAGAGAAATATCATGTTTTTTAAAAGAGTAGTTAGTAGTTTCTGCCTCTTCTGGTATTACACGTGTCCACGGGCGGCGCTGATCACTTAATGTCAGGTGATGCATGAGTATGCAATTCTATAAAAAGTAACTTTTTTTTGGAACAAGTACCTAGCTACCCTACCTATCTTCTTATTTCTTAATTGGCAGACATTTGGTGGCTATAACGCCTGGCGATAAGCGATGATGCGACCTACGACGGAGCCTACCCATAAGCAACCTACTCACTTGGGCCTTGAAGACACCCAGGTTAATCCCTTCGAGGAACACAGACTCCTACAAAGAATTCCACTCCTTAGCGGTTGGGAATATAAAACTGGAAGCGAACCGTTTTGTGCGTGTAGGTGAATGGGGTTTCCACTACCAAGTGTCGTCGTTTTTCCGATTGTCTGATGGTGCCATAGTGGATAGGACTAGGGAGAATCTAGTTGTGTAGCTCCCCCGAACATTGTCAGTTCTGATCATATGATCATATTATGATCTACTCTATTTTGAGTTTTTGGTTTTACCATTAACTAATCCTATTTATGCTTGAGTGCCTCTAAATGGACAGGAACTATCAGCACGGCACAGATAGTGATTTTAACTTTTAACTTTGCGTTGGGCCCTAGTTTGCTCCACTGGGGGCCCAGTCCAAATTTACCACATTGCCACCCTGTCAATACCTAGTGCCCGTGCTTCATATAAACGGCCTTCGGTAATGTTCTGTGATAAAATATTGATGCAATGTAATAGGTACTTACGTTTAATTAAGGTCATTTTGGTTAGTGTGGATCGATCATTTCGTTTCAAAGATTGGGTTAACTTAATAGATTTTACTTTGTTTCTATGATAGGTAAAGATAATGGATTTATTTGTTATTATACTAATATTTTATTTGCAAATGTAAATAAAACAAAGCATGTTAAATAAATAAAAACACTATGAAATTCTCATGGTAAATGTGTTCGTTCTCGTAAATGTGGTGTTAGTTTTTCTACAACCTTCAAACAATCAGGTAAAAGAAGGTTTTTCTATAATTTTGCTTAAAGCTTAGCTTCTCAGAACACATCTCACAAATCTTTAATGAATCTTCTAAATTCTACAATCTACTAAATCCAAAGCGACTCAACATTCAACAAATACCATTTCCTCGCTACATTGATAGGGGTGTTCCGGTTTATATTGCCTTCTTATACTGCAGTCTTGTTTAAATAAACGTCTTATTTGTCCCCCCATCCCTAATAGGTACGTGAGATGCAAGTAAATTCGCGGCGAGGAAACTTTTTTCTTTCGTGACAATACAAGGAATGGTGTTTTTTTTGGATGTGGTATTATTAGTATTTTCAGTGTTGGAGAAATTTCCAAAGGAATAACGCTCAATGTTCTTACACCATACATACATATAAAATCAGCCTATAAGTGTCCACTGCTGAGCAAAGGCCTCTTCTAACACGGAGAAGGTATGACCATTAATCACACATTGGTACTGGCTAGTTTTTGAACCCATGCATGAGAAGCGGGGGCCTAAGCCCAGGGCCTCCACGACGTTGCACGTTATGTTATATGTAGAACAATTCCGGTCTCCGTGCTACTAATGAACATTTTCAGAAAATCAAATGAACTCAATATAACTTCGATCAACCCAGAATCAAAACGCCATTGTAAAATTTTATGCTGCAAATTGGTTTGCGGGTCTAAAGTATTTAGTTCTCTGTCATTAATGATAACCATTCGTTATCAGTGCATTCTTATAGAAAATTAGAATTTTGTTTCACTCACATGTTTATATTTTTACTAACACAAACGCTTTACGGTAGCAGAACGCAGTATCTATACAAGAACTACAGTTAGGTGTCTGTCTTCAGGACGGGTCCACTAAAACTAGTGTGGTTGCTTGCTTAAAAGACCACATCGGCGAGTAAGGGTAGCTCGTCACCCGACCAGTACCAGGTTCGAGCGCCCGGCGCGTAACGTTCCGCGCGCGCCTCAAAAAACCAATAGACCACCATAGACGGGGCCCTACAACGCTGATGTTCAGCCGGGGTTGCGGGGTAAGCGCAATAAGACCACCCTGGCCTCGGCTTAAAGCAGGTAAAAGAGCAGGGAGGGATTAAGTCAGTAAGAGCACTCCTTCTGGACTTTCCCTCGGAGGGAAAAGTGATTTGATGATTTTCTCCTAACAAAAAGAAATGTACAGAAATTACCTCGTATAGTTTAGTTTTTTTATATATAATTTTGACGTGTAAAAGTGCTGCTTTGTGGCCTATTTGCAAAAATTTATAGTTTTATTAAAACCGCATCCAATTCTATCTTTATTTCCAAGATCTTAGCCCCATCCGCGCGGTATCTAATTTATTCGGCCTCCAAGAGAATTATTGTCATTCATGAATATGAATTGCTTTGTTTAAACTGATCAAATTTTTTATTAAACACCTCGTCTCGACCTTAGTACGAGTTTTGTGGGATATTTTCATAAGATGTTGTTATTTTATTATCTTTGTGTTTATGACTGTATAAAGATCTTCAACTTAGAAAGGTATTTAATACGCTTACGCTTATTGGAAGCCTTCGTTCCTTTTGAACTCGCTTATCTGAGTGAGTGGAAGTAGTTGAAATGGGTTTACCTTGCTTACACGGCGAGATATGAAACCAGTGATGT